TTCTTTCATTATTTTTTATTTTCAAATATAAAGTTTAAAAGTAAAGAATAATTAGAGTTTGGCATGAGTCGGTCAAACAGGCTGAATTTCAAATTTTTGCCCGTTTTGATCAAGTCTATAATCACATGGTTCCCTGATACCCTATAAAAATCTCAATCCAAACCAGTTTGGCAGGTGAGTCCGTGTTTACCACCATTTTCTAGGGATACAGGAAAGTTGGTTCCTATCCCAAATCGTGCTGTTCATTCTTGATTTCTTTAGATTTTATCATGGCTTGGCAAAAAACCAGAAAGCACAATGATGAGAAGATGAAAGTTTTATAAAGCAAATTAATCGGCCAACGGGCCGAGTAAAAGCTAGCAACGATTGTGAGATGCTCATTTCCCAAAAACGGGCGGGATAGGCGATTTTTTATTCGATTTTCTGGAATTCGGTTTCTATAAAACTTACTCCACCTCATCATATTACCAGAAACAATATTGTTTCACAAGGTAACAGGTACTTGATTTTGGTTCATAAGGCTGATTTTTGATTCGTTGCATCATTCATGTCTCTTTTCTACTAAAATTCACTATTTTTATCACGTGTTTCTTAAAAAAAAACTATACAACAATAAGCTATACACCCCATTACATTATCAAATTTCATACCTCATCTTCGTCCGGCCAAATGGTCGGGGCCCACGCTAGTTGAGCTAATAATAGCTACATACTATTAGCAGCAGCAGATCCTTGGCAGGCAATACAATTTGTTCCAGGTGTGGGCCCAACCCGAACGAGTTTTACAGGATCAAAACAGAGAAACAGACAACATATTCGGCCCAGAAGGACTGGGTACGGCCATAATCCTTAAAAAAAAACCCTAACTTCCAGCCCAGTTTCACCCTTGGCACGGAGGGAGGAGATGCCAGATCCCTGCCGTTAGGGGTGGAAGAAGAGAGCGGATCCAGTGACTAAGGGGGGTGCTTAGTCACTTGAGTAAGCCCCTCCCAGCCCTTAGATATGGACACTCCAATCCAATGGTTAAAAAGTGGGAAGGGCTATTTAATTAATGACAGGGGTAGTTTGGGTATTATGGAAAATTACGAAGTATACAAACCAGATTTACAATCAGTACAACCATACAAACATACGAACAGTACAAACTAGAGCGACAAAACATACAAACAGATTTACAAACATTACAAACGTATGAACTGTACAAACAATACAAACTAGATTGACAAACAATACAAACCATACAAAAAGAAAAAACAACCGGGTTGACTTTGGAGGCTCCATCCCTGTATAGAGGGGCTCCTTCCCAAAGTCAACCCGGGTGTTTTTTAGACATACAAACAGTACGAACATGGTGGAAAAAAATGACAAACTAGACCGACAATCCATACGAACGGGAAAAAACACCCGGGTTGACTTTGGAGGCTCTATCCCTGTATAGAGGGGCTCCTTCCCAAAGTCAACCCGGGTGTTTTTTAGACATACAAACATTACGAGCATGGTGGACAAAAATGACAAACTAGACCGACAATCCATACGAACTGGAAAAAACACCCGGGTTGACTTTGGAGGCTCCATCCCTATATAGACGAGGTCCATCCAAAAGTCAACCAGGTTGTTTTTTATACATAAAAAATGGTTGACAAAAATGATAAACATGGTGCACAAAAATAACAAAGTTTACAAACATTACAAAAAAACCGACAAACATCACAAAATAACAAAGCGTACAAACATTACAAAATAAACTGACAAACCGTACAAAGCATACTAACCTTACAAAATGTCACTAAAAATTACAAACAATACAAACTAGGGTGTGCCTACGGTGACATGCATGTCACGGTGACTTGCACTTTCCGGTCGACCTCAGTTAGGATTAGGTCGACCTCACATAGAATTCGGTCGACCTCATATAGGATCCGGTCGACCTCATTTAGGATTTGGTCGACCTCATATAGGATCCGGTCGACCTAATATGTTGTTTCAGTGTAAAAACAGTTCATGGTGCCTACTTTGGATATTCATATCATACAATTGGCTAGATGGAAATTGAAGACTAATGACTTGTTTTGAAGCTGGAGTGTCCCTCTACATATTGAAGTGATTGAGAGCTCGATAGGAAGTCCAGAAGACCATTTTTGAACATCATCAAAAGGCTATGCTAAAACTGGGAAACTGCCTAGAAATGGCTAAGTCTGGAAACGTGTTTGTGAAGCCTATTTTTGAGCTCAATTCGAGAAGCATGAATGCGAGTCGAGTCCAGGAGCCTCTACCACGTTAAATTAGGTATGTTTTTATACAAATTCAAGGAATTGGATGAAAGATTGGATATCTTTAAGGCTTCAAACAAAAGGGTCGAAGTTGCTACGAAGGCTGTTTTTCTGGCAGACTTCGAGCACAAGCAAGCTGCCAGAAAAACAGCCTTCGTAGCAACTTCGAGCCTTTTGTTTGAAGCCTTAAAGATATTCAATCTTTCATTCAATGCCTTGCCTTTGTATAAAAAAATACGTAATTTAACGTGGTAAAGGCCCCTGGACTTGACTCGCATCCATGCTTGTCAAATTGAGCTCCAAAGTAGGCTTGACAAACACGTTGCCAGACTTAGCCATTTTCAGGCAGTTTTCCAGTTTTGGCATAGCCTTTTGGTCAGGTTCAAAAATGGTCTTCTGGACTTTCTATTGAGCTCCCAAGTACTTTAATGTGTAGAGGGACACTTCAGCTTCAAAACAAGCCTTTAATCTCCAATTTCCATCTAGCCAATTGTAAGATATGAATCTCCAAAGTAGGCACCATGAAACTGTTTGTACACTGAAACAACTGATTAGGTCGACCTGATCCTATATGAGGTCGACCGAAAAGTGCATGTCACCGTGACATGCATGTCACCGTAGCAAAGTCCTACAAACTATATCTATACAAACATTACAAAATAGGTTAGCAAACATCACAAATCCAACACTGTCGCCGGAAAATTTTCTCCGGTCTCTCTCTCTGCATTTGGGGGAAACAGCAAAGGGATAAAAATCCTCTCTCTCCCTGGGAATTAATAATGGCGCACAAGAACAAGAACTGGAAATAATGGCACCCCGGAAACGGTGGCGGCCAATTAGGAGACGGTGGGCGACGCAAAGGGACGGCGACGGAAACGGCGCTGGTTTTTTTTTATTCTTTTTATAATTAAAATTTAAAAATAAATATGCAATTACTACATTGCCCTTCATTAAATTGGATTAATAGGAGCCCTAGGATTTTAATGAGGTGCAAGGGTGGAGATTCACTTAGCCATGTGACTAAGGGGACCCCCTTAGTCACCTGATCTCAGCCCGCCATCCGAAGGGGTCTAATGTTGCTGGATACAAATAACTTAAATAAGAAATGTCGCACCCTCATCAGCAAATTGAAAATGACAAGGAGTGTTGTGTCAGATGTAGACTCGCTCGATTCTTGAGCTCAGGTTAGTGCTCTTTTACGCAAGTCTTACTCTTTGTTAGGACATTTACCTACACTATGTTTTCGAAGGAAGGGAGGAAAAGGAGGGGGGAGGTGAAGGAAAATTAGGAGGGGAGGGGAAATTTAGAGGTGAAGAAAATTGGAAGGAAAATGTTGTTTTATGGTGGAAAGTAGAAAGGAAAGTGTGTTTTGGGAAGTGTGATGAATATGTTATTATTAGTTATGTAATAGTAAATAGAGACTTTGTTTATTTAAAAACAGTGATTTAACCACATCAATCATTTAAAATAGAAACTTTATAATAATTGATAAAGGATTCTAAATCAATTAAAAATCATTCAACTTATTAAAATTTTGTTTGCTATTTTGTTGATTTATCAACATAGCAACTAAGAACATAAACAAATATGACATCCACTTTGAAATCGACAAATTAAACTCGAAATTTAGCTAGACCGTTAATATTGACAGACATTAGTCTCTTTTGTCTATGACGCAACATATAATTCTAAAGTGGCTGCGACGTGACTTCCACGTCATACAACAATAAATAGAATTTAGCACTATATTAGACCACAAATCAACAAGCTTACCACTATGGTATATTTCTACCATCGTTCTACCATTATGATATATTTTTGCTATCATGGTATAATATATGATTATCAAATTATATATGGTATATTTTTACAAAATTACCGACACTATGCTACGATTTAGTAATTCTTCATTGAAATAATTTTTTTTGTTTGGCTACTTCTTTGTTACTAATTAATTTTGTTAGGAAGCAGAATGAAGGCTAAAAGTCACCAAGACTAATTTGATTACTTTCATGCTAGTAATTAAAAAGACTCACTTAATCTTATTTTGGAGATTAAGTACGGAATTATTAAAAAAAAAAAGATTAAGTACAAAACAAATAAGGATTGTGAGAGAGTAGGTGAAGTTAATAATCTTGTATAATAATGAAGTTAGCAATTGAATTAATAATAAATGTTATTTTGTGTTGGAAACTTAACTATTAGGCAAATATTTAAAAATGAAAATAAAGAACATGCTTGTGTGACCTTCATTCCCTCTTCTTTCTCTCCAATTTGGAGGAGTGGGTTGAATAGTAACAAGGAGGGATAATTTTCCTTCCTTACTCACTTTCCCTCCATAAATGAACAAGGAAAAATGCATTGGGAATCTCATTTTCCCTCCTCAATTTTTTCCCCCCTCCTTTTCTCTCCATAAGAAACATAGTGGGGTTAATTGTATGGTTGGTCAATGAAATTACAAAAACAATTCATGTTTGGTCACTCAAAATATTTAAATCCAATCTTGGTCACTCAAATTAGTTAAATGGTTCAATTTTGGTCACTCTCCGTCCAACTCCGTTAAATTTTTCTGATGTGGCAGTCAACCCTCAAAGTTGACCGTTAACTCGGTGACATGGCAATTAAAAAATAATAAATAAAATAAATTTTAATCTTATAGGCTTGATCAGATAGTCAGCTGCACCTTTCAACATGCATTTGTAAGCCGTCCGAATCGAATCCTCCGTCGACATCACTGCAAAACCACATACAAGCTTCGCGCTTGAGTTTCTTTCTTCTCCATAACAGGAATGTTCTTGCATATCTCATGATCCATGATAAGCGAAAGGAGAGCATATCCCAATACAGAAGGCAGATCGACTTCAGTCAAAATTAGGTCTATCTCATCTGGCTTCCCTTTCAGTACCTCCCACGCTTTTAACCCATTTGTAACTGCAGAAACTGCTTAATCAAGCAGAAGGGAAACATCAAAATCTGGTAATTGAGGGAGCTGAACAAATGGGTTGAACAGGATTCAATCATCAAGGCAAAATCGGACAGCAAGAACATAGAACCAAAATTGGATCGCGCTACCGACACTAAAGAAACTGGCTAAAAAGAAAGGGGACCAAAATCACCTCTGTAACCACATTTCCCGAGAAGAGCGGAGGTGATCTTTCTAGTCGAATCATCGGCCTCCACCAGCAAAACTCTCAGAGCCATCGGCGACAACTTCTCCCATCCCACCGCCGAATCACTGCTCCTCCGACCACAAACTCCCTCGCTCTCGCTCCCAACCTCTCCATCTTCTTCCGGCGGCAAAGGAATTGAGAGCTGATTTGGTTGCGGGAAGGGATGTGGTGGCGGAGGAGGAAGCTACTCTTTCAGTTTGTGATTATAATAATTTTTTATTTATTTTATTTTACTTTATTGTGAAAATGAGTTGGAAATTGTAGAAGATTAAAATTTATTTTATTTATTGTTTTTCAATTGCCACGTCACCGAGTTAACGGTCAACTTTGAGGGTTGACTGCCACATCAGACAAATTTAACGGAGTTGGACGGAGAGTGACCAAACTTAAACCATTTAACTAATTTGAGTGACCAAGATTGGATTTAAATATTTCCAATGACCAAACATGAACGTTTTTTATAATTTCAGTGACCAGCCATGCAATTAATCCAAACATAGTGCTAGGGTTTATTTTGTGTACGCTTCTTGAAAAGCAAATCAGGTTGTTCATTTTGTGGCACATCATGTCATTCACTATCCTAGTCTTCACAGTGTGCTTTATGATTTTTCTTTCTTGTTTGTTGACTTGTTTTTCGGCCAGCGCGGGTCTTGAACTATTGTGGTACCCCACGCTTAGGGCTGCAAATGAGCCAAGCCGCTCGTGAGCAACTCGGCGTTCGAATCGGAAAAAACTCGTTCGACACTCGACTCGTTGTTTAACAAGCCGGCTCGCGAGCTAGCTCGTTAGTAAACGAGCCAAGCTTGAGCTAGGCCATGCTCGACTTGATAAGCTCGTGAGCTAGCTCGACTCGGTGTCTTGTTGAGCTAAGCTCGTGAACTGGCTTGTTTAAAGCTTGTGGAAGGATTAATTACTTTTCTGAACATGAGAATTATCTTATTAATAAGGATGTGTATGGAAGTTAGATGTTATTTTTAGTTTTTAAGGTTCTTTTTATCATTTTTAATTTCTAATGTTCTTATTTGTACACATTTTTCAGCAAGAATGATTTCAAATCGAGCTTATCTTGAGCCGAGCTTGTACTCAGCTTGACAAGCTGTGTTAATGAGCATTTACCGAGCTTTATCGAGCCGAGCTCGAGCTGGATTATTTTTAATCGAGTCGAGCTCGAGCTCGAGCTGGATGATGAAATTTCGAGTTCGAGCTGAGCTCGAGCTAAAAAATTTATAAACGAGCCGAGCTCAAGCTCAGTAAAAACTTGACTCGACTCGGCTCGTTTGCAGCCCTACCCACGCTATTATTTGATCCATTGGCAAGGGTGGTTATGACCAAAAAAAACAAAAATGAAAACGAGAAGCCAGATGGCGATGGCGGAGATTCGTAACAGACTAACAGGATTAGCATGCTTTGGACGATCGGGCCAAGGCCCAAGGATGGTGGATTTGGTTTTAATGCTTACGACGTTCAATGTTTCACCACCTCGTTCTGGGCCGAACGGAACTCACCCAGGCTTATATAATAAAACAAGTAGCTATACAAGAAACGCAGACCTCCTTCTGGGCCTGAGCACATAGACACCCAAAGGAATAGGCCCAAACTAGAAGCCCATATTAGTGTTTCTTTATCCCTCGACAAAAGCTTCCATCACTATACACGAATACACGAAATTCTACGTTACCGCCGAGGAGGTGGACAGCCAGGCAGCTCGCGTCGTTTCGCCGGGGCCGCGGCCGCGGCTATTATTACGAGGAAAAAAAGAAGAAACGCATAAAAAAGATCGCCTACATCCCAGTACCATCCTAACTTGCAACAAGACACATCCGTCCCAATGTGGCCACGTGGCATCCAAGACACTGACGTGGCGCGCGCTGACAAGTCTTTTCAGCCAACCTAAATTCCTAACCCCCTATCGCAGCCCGACACGTACAAACGCCGCCGGTCTTCGGCAAACTATGAACAAATTAAACTTACGGCGCCAGTAAGATCCGGGGAAGCACGACGCCGCCGCCGCCGCCGCTTCCGCCGTCTGCTTCTTCCGCCGCGTGCAATCTCGAACAAGGCGCCGTACCGAAGGGCGCCGTCAGTTGGTTGAGCTCCACCACGACGCCGATCACCGGCGACGAAACCTCCTTGTCGGAGTTACAGTGGTCCCCGTAGTAAGGCGCGTGGCCGGTGAACTCCTTGTTGATCCGCACCGACGACGATCCGCCGCCGCAACTATCCTCGAAAGACGCGGAATCGGCGGCGCTGCCTTCCCTCTCCTCCTCCTTGATCGTGAAGAGGAACCTCGGCGGGCCCCGCATCCTGCTCCCCATCAGCATCTCCTCCACCTCCTCGTCAGTCGGCGGCGGAGCGGCCTGCACGACGACGGCGGAAGGAGGAGAGGGCGGGGCCGCGGCAGCTTCGGCGGCCTTGAGCGCCTTGGAGGAGAGAGAAGAAGAGGTTTTGTTCTTCCACGCGCTGCGGAGGAAGTGCTTGATTTGCGTCGGAGAAATAGACCCTGCGGCGGCGGCGGCGGCGGTGCCGGGGGACTTGGCGGCTGGGAGGGGGAGGGAGATGGGGAGGTCGTCGGGAGAAGTGCGGCGGTGGACGAGTGCCTTGCGGCGGATGACGACGTAGACGAACTGGATGAAGAGGAATGCGAGGTAGGCGACGAAGAGCGCCACCAGTACGGTGGCGATGACGGCGAATTCCATCGGAGCTAGCTAGCTAGCTGCTCTGCTGTTGTGACATTGTTCGGTAGTTCTGGATTTATGAATTAGGGATTGGGGCATAAGGGGGGTTTGGGAATTGGAACAAGATAGGTAGCGATTCGGGGGGAGTATGTTTTAAAAGGAGGGGACGTGGATGCGGAGGCGGAAAGAGAGGGGGGCGACCGAGGGTCCGACGTGGAATCAAATCAATTGAAAGAGAAAAGAAATAATGAAGGAGAAAGCGACTTGTTGCTTCTGATTAGCCGATGGAATTCCGTGGGGTCGACGCAACTGTCGTCTCCTGCTGCGTGCATCTTTCAATTTTTTTTTTAATCATTAATTGCGAAATAGGATATTATATTAAATTAATTAAGGGAGACACTAATTAATCGCCTGGTCTATGGTTTGAATTTTTGATGGCTCAATTAACCCAGCGCCAGCAACCCACCCACACATAAAGCATGCAATTAGTACTGGTGGTGTAGTCAATCATATATACGTTAATATTGAGGTCAATAATTAAGTTTTGGGTTTCGCCTCCCTCCAGTCCAGGTCAGCGAAGTCTCAATCTCTATAGTCTGTAGAACTAGATCATGAAATCCAGATTATGAATCTCCATCCAGTATCTGGCTGGTCGTCAAACAGCTACCCGCGCTAAGACATTTTCTGAGAGCAACTTTAATTTAATGCTAAATCTCTTTTTTTGCTCTACATGCTCATACTATTATTAGTTCTCTCAATGGGCCCACAATACGCATTGGTCATTGTATGATACATTGACAGACAGGGTTTGTTTGGGTGAAACAATTGACAAATATGTGATTTGGGTATAATTGGTGTTTTCTGGCGAGCAAACCTCTGTGTTGAATTGAGATTGATTGCACCTATGACTTATTTGGACAACGATTACTAATACACGGCTCAAACCTCTTCAAACAAAGTTCGAATGAGTGTGTTTGATTGATGGTGAAAGGATTGAAAAACTAAGTTAAGTTACTTCTACTCCTATGGAGGTTCAGCGAGACCTCCAACTACGACTAAAGCTACATTGCAGAGAAAATGATAAAGTTTGACATTGGGTGTCAAATGGTTGGTTGTGGAACCTCTCTCTCTGTCGACCCTTCCTCCTATTTATAGCGACGAGGAGGTAAACCGTAGTAGAAAACCACTTGATGGATAACTGTTACCAAGAACCTCTCCCCCTTCTTCAGTAGAAAACTGCCTCTTGGATAACTCCCAAAAAGAACCGCTCCCTGCTTCCTCGGAGTGGTGGTTACTACTTCAACCGTTTACGCGCCTCTCTTGGAACCGTCGTGGGTCTTGTAGCTTGCCTCGCCTCGTCTTGTTCAAAATCCCGTGCCATGCCAATCTTTTGATAAGCATGTGGTGTCTCACAAAAGGGGGTCGTGGTCCTCTTGCCAGACGGCCATGGACTTCTAAGTCATGTTCTGTGGTCCTTCTCATGACACGACATGACCTTCTCATACTTAGCATTTTTCAATCGTGTCTAGGACCTCTTGTCTCGCGTCCATGCCCCTTCTCATGACTCAACATGGACGTCTCATATTGTCTCACGTCCATGCCCCTTCTCGTTAAGCGGCATGGACCTCTCAGCCTTGGTCATTTTTGTTTCCTTTTAGAGATGATGAGTGCTTATAGATTTTAGATGAACATGGCTCTCCTTGTTGAAGCGACACGTGCTTCTCCTTGAAGCGGCATGTACCTTTTCCAGACTTAGTTTATTTTTCACTCATTCGGTCTTGGTCGTGAGGCGGCATGGCCTCTTCGTGAAGTGGCACGAGAAGAGGCTCATGTCCCTCGTTGAATCACGTCCATGCTATTTTATAAATTAGTGGCTTGGACTTAAAATCAATATCAATAAGGCCCAACTTAAACAACATTAATTATAATAATTAATGTGGTCTTATAAACTCATCGATTATCTTGTAATTCACCAACATGGTACAAGCAAATTTTATGGCGTAAACAATTGGGATTTGGGGAATTATATATGTACTGGATTATGTGAGTTTTTCAGTTTCCACATTACACTTTGTGTGTGATTGAACCTGAATATCAATTTTCACATTATTTTGGGGTAAATGATGCATATATGACGAATTTCCGCATTGTTGGGAATTTTAAACTACATCTCACATTTTTCATCAATTTCTTTATGGGTTAAAAACACATTTGGTCACTGAGATTACTAAATTGGGACATGTTTAGTCACTAGAAAAAGTAAATATCAAATTTGGTCACTATAATTACTAAAACAGGACACATTCAGTCACTCACCGTTAGTTGTCGTCCAACTCCGTTAAAAGAGTCTATTACGTGCTGACGTGGCTAACGTGAGCGCCTAGTCAGTGCCGTTTTGGGCCGAAAATGGTCAAACCCGACCCGCCACGTCATTAAACCCGCCACGTAACAAACCCAATCCAACCCATTAACCCAACCCGACCCAGAAATAAACCCTAACCCACCTAATCAGACCAGAGCCCACTTAAAAAAATGTCGGAGCGAGAGATATCCCAAGCTCTCCACTCCCTCCTTCACGACTATTCCACTTCCCAGTCCCAATCCTCCGCCACCGGCCCTCTCACCTCCATGACCGCCGTCGTCCACCACCTCCAGTCCAAACTCGGCGTCGACCTCTCCCCCAAGCTCGACTTCATCCGATCCCAGCTCCAACAACTCCTCTTCCAGCAACCTCACCCACCGCCGCCGCACCAGCAGCAGCAACCCTTTCCTCCTTCGTCGCCGTCTTACAAAGACCGTTATGCCCCTCACCAACCCGCTCCCAATTTCCTCCTCTCTTCCAGCTACCCTCCGATGCACCAAATCCCTAAATTCTTTCTCTCTTCCGGCTACACACCGCCGCCTCAGCAGCAGCAACACCAACCCTTTCCTCCGCCCTTTTACAATGACCGTTATGCCCCCCCACCAACCCCCCCCCCCCAACTTCTTCCTCTCTTCTGGATTCCCTCCATCTCACTCCCCCACTCCATCAATTTGAAATCCCCTGCACCTGCTGGTGCTCCCCTCGAGTTTCCTAAGGAGAATAATAAGGGTAAGAGGAAAGACGAGGCGGGTGGTTTGAACAATCTCTCCCTGCTCTCTAGTCTCAGATTAGTTTGATTGAAAATGGCGAAGGGAAGAGCTCTCGAGGAAGGAGAAGGGTTTTCGGGTCTGCAAGTGGAAACTGATCAGTTTTGTTTTTTTAAGTGGGCTCTGGTCTGGTTAGGTGGGTTAGGGTTTATTTCTGGGTCGGATTAGGTTCATGGATTGGGTTGGGTTTAGTGACGTGGCGGGTCGGGTTTGACCATTTTCGGCCCAAAACGACGCTGATTAGGCACTCTCATTAGCCACGTCAGCACATAACGAACTCTTTTAACGGAGTTGGACGGCAACTAACGGCGAGTGACAAAATGTGTCCGGTTTTAGTAATTATAGTGACCAAATTTGATATTAACTTTTTCTAGTGACTAAACATGTCCCAATTTAGTAATCTCAGTGACCAAATGTGTCTTCAACCCATTTCTTTATCCATACGTTTTAACAAAATGATGCATATATGAGATTTGGATTCAAATCTCCTATTCGAACAATCGATTGGGAGATTATGCTAGATGCATATAACGCATTGTATAGTTCATCTATTAAGATAGCCAAAGATTGATCATGCTCACATGTATATTTTACTTATTTTGTGGTTATTAACATTTGTTATTAAATCATCTATGATAAAGTTGGAGTACTCTAAGAACAATGGCTGAGCTGTGTACAATGTTTGGGGGTGTTTGCACCCTTTAGGTAGGGATGAAATTTTTTAAAGGAGATTGTGTAATTGTAAATTCGAATGCTCAACTCGACCAATACACAACAAGTTGACACACCATTTACATTGGATAGATTTATGATTTCATTATGCATACACTTTTATTTAAAACATCTATCCATCTTAGAATTAAAAATTATAATAATAAATCTTATGAAATTTATTGATGATAAGTGGAAAAATAAAAAAATTTATCTACCATTGGATAACCGGTCCAATGCCTTATATAAGGGGTCGATGAGTTGGAAAAAAATGGTGAAAAGAAATCAACAAAATATGTATCTATCTCTTGTCTCTTGATTTGCTTCTCAAGTTTACACTTACTATGTCGTTGGAACAAGTGTGGACAGATAATTTCATTCAAGAAATAACGATCTTAGAAATCGAATGAACAATTAACGGTTAAATGTTGCTTTGGTGACATATATTGAACAAGTCTGGACAAAGAATGCATTATACAATAAAATATGAAATATCATCATTGGTTCATTTAAATTGTGTACGCCGAAGTAATATGTTGTAATTGTACGAACCAACCTTGAATATTATGTTATTGATTATTTTAGACATAACTTTCTATTACGTAGTTGTTTTTAATGGTATGAAGGACAACACCCATTAATTAAATTTCTAGCTCTGCCATGGAACCCAACTTATTATGCTCCCGTCAGCCAAAATATTCTTTCTATGAAAACATAATCAATTGCAGTCTATTATACTCATAACTAGTTTTGTGCCCGCCCGATGGGCGGCGAGTGTTATCTGTTTGTACTTTCCTTTTATTATTTGTTATTTTTTTCAATGATATCAGATTTCTAATTTTCATAATTATTTATTATTGTTACCTATTATCACTGACTTATCTGATATGAGGGCCGCTACATTTACTCTATGTTTTAATGATGATCAACAATAAAGTCAAACAAACTTCATCACCGCTTGGACCAACAATTGTCAACTTCATAAGTTGTACATGGTTTAAACTCGTGTACGCCACCTTACCAAACTCCTATAGAGTTGATATTTAGACCATGTATTAACAAAGTTTGGCACATGATGCTATACCATATTCTCTAATAGGTGAACCATGGTCTCTAATTCTCTAATCCAAATCATACGATTCATTTAATGAAAAATAATAACCACCGATTCTTATTTGTCA